GGTGCGTTCCTCTAAGTCTTCCTGCCAATATGACCAAGTTGCGAAAACAAGGTCAAACAACTTCTATAGAACGAAAGGAGACTGCAACCATACAAAAGGCCTCACCATCTTGGTCTTCATGCCTTCGAGAAATAAGTTTGTTAGATTTTAATTAATTTTCCAACGAACAAATCCAAATCCCTGATTGTTTTTATTCTTTTTACCTTTCAGGGATGCCATCAAAGCTTGCACGAATTCGGACAATCTAATTTGAAGACAATTACTGGCATTGGAATCGGATTTGCTTCATTAATGGTTCGTTTAAGTTTCTTTTGTAAATCGTCATTCATGCTTGTTATTAAGGGATAATAGCTCAGCATTCCTTTCTGTATCTACGTTAATTAATTCGTCATCTAACAGTCAAGAGCTTATTAATATCCTTTAAAGTTCGTGAATAAGAGTGGTCTGGTTTCGCTTTCGCGATTAGGCCTCGTTGTTAGAATGACCTAATTTCTCTGAAGTCCTCTGCTATGGATGTTATGAGAATTCCCAGTGCTGGAACTTGGACTTAGTGCATTCCCAGAAGTTTCGCTAGTAACATCAGCAAGTCTTGCCATTCTCAGCTCCTAGCTGTAATTCGTCATAGAGACAAGTGAAGAAAATTTATTGACCAACTTTCTTCAGAACATATCAAGACCAAGATGTTGTAACCTCTGGTATGGTCGCTGTCTACTTTCGATTTATAGAAGTGGGTTGACCTCGTTGTCGCAACTTGGTCTTGTGAGAAGTTGTGATAGGGCGGAAGTTTGATAAGAGAGTGAAGAATAGATAGATAAACCAGGACAGAAAGAGGAGTGATAGTGCATCCGTTTTCGGCAGAACGTTTGTCGAGGGATTGACTTCACTTGTCTCTTTGACGAGTTCGTAGCTTGGTGCAGAGAATGGCAAACCTATCTAACGCTACGATGCAGACGAAACTTTTGAGAATGTACCAAGTTTACTGTTTGATGCTGGGAATCATGACAAGTAATATGGCAGACGACTTCGGACTAGGTGCGTTCTACTAAGTCTCCCTTTCTACAGAACGTTTGCTCTATCAATTGTCTTTTTGTCTTGGCACATCAACCTACTTTCAACTCTTTTATCTTATTCCAGCACTGTGAAAACTTCTGATTTCTATATTCGACTCCGGGTTTAGTGTGGCGTCATCACACCTGCTGTTTACCTTGCCTCCCTTGTCCCTCTCGATTTGATGATCCGACTAGTACCTCCTATTCGAATCTCGTTCATGTGCTCGTGAAGCTGTTGTTATCTTTCTAGTCGACTGATTTTACTCGGTTCCTGTCCCAGTTCAAGGTATAATTCAGGAGCTATTCCTCAAGCCTCTCTTAACACATACACTGTCGCCTCTTATTGCTATACTTGCAAACACAAGGCATTGCCTCCATGGCTCATCTTCGTGGTTCAGTTCGTGTACCCTGAGCAAACTATAGACGTCTATCTCTGGTCTCCTGCTACACATCGAGTGGAGTTCTTATCATTTTGGCCATCATTCCGAATTTCTTTGACGGTTGTGATTATCCGTATCCCTAGTCCTGTGACCGCAAGGCCTCCAAAGTTGTAGCCATTTCCTCGAGCAGACTACACTATCTGAGAACGTCTTCTCCTGATTTCCGAAGGTTCCCTATCTGCTTTATACTTTTCTTTCTTTTTACTCTGATTAACGATAGGTTCTTTATCCAGGCGTCTCCTTTTTGCTTCTAGCTTGCTTGAGCAACAGGCAAACTTATCGCTAACTCCTCCTTATTAAAATATGTTTGTTAAATTTATTTCCGCAAGGATGTCAATGGCCTCCCTAATTTTTCGTTTTCATATGTTTTCACTATCTAAGGCACTTCTTTCCGCTGCCTTGATCTTCCAATTGAGCTCGTGCTGAATCTGTGCAAATTGTTCCGATATTTCTAATATTTCCATTTTTCAGCGGAGCCTTTGATGTCCTTTGATTCGTATGCTGATTTTTTTTCCGCCAATATCTTTCTGTTTACAAACACCGCAGTAGACTGTGGAGCCAATAAATTTGCCTATCCTCCCACTTTGCGTGGATAAAGTTTATTCCTTCGTAGTCACCGGAATATAATTTTTTAAAAATATTGTCCGTAGTGTCTTAGCTCGCAGGGAGGTAGGCATATCCACTTTTGTTAGTCTTTGTCCACCCTTATTTTTCTTTTATGATCCCAGCCCTGACATCGACTTTTTATGGGTTGCATGTTTCTTTCTATTATTTCTTTCGCGTATCCGTTGCCGAGGTACATCCGAGTCAATTTGTCTAGTTTTAAATCCCTGAATTCCACCTCCGTTAATTGTAGATTTGTAGCGATCATGCTTATCATTTTTCCGATCTTCAGTTTGTACCTGTGATGGGACTGGAAATTTAATATTATTTCGGCATATGACTTCTTTCCGAACAATTTCTTCTTGAGAGATAGTGCCTGGAGCAAAACGTAGACTAGGACTGGAATCGAATCAAGTTAGTCAACCAATAAGATAAGGAACGGATCTACGAGCCCATGAAGGAGATTCGGATAAGAGGACCGAGTTGGATCAGTCGGGAGGTGGGGGATCAAGATAAGCAGTATGTACATTCCCAGACGTTTTTCCTGCATCGTTAGTGATTCTTACTATTCTCAGCGCCACCTACCCCTCGGCAAAGAGACAAGTATAGTCACTCCCTTGGCCAACTTTCTGTTGAAATGGTTGTGCTATCACTCATCTTCCTGTCCTGGTCTCTCATCTATTTCCTACCCTCTTGTCTCACCCTAGTCCTATCATAACTTGTGACTTATTCATACTCCACACCTCAGGAGGTGTGCCCTTTTGGCAAATTTACCGTGTCGTCATCATACCTGCTGTTCGCCTTGCCTCCATCTTTTCAACTGGTTGATCCGACTCATGCCTCCTATCCGGATCTACCTAATGGGCCCGTAGATCCGTTTCTTATCTTTATGGTTGACCGATTTAACTCGGTTCCAGGCGCTATTTCTCAAGCCCTTAGTAGTACGTACAATGACGCCTCACCTGTAGACGGCCTAGGCCATGCCTGCAGATATTAGGCTTTGCCTTTACGAATCATCTCCTCGATTCATCCCGTAGACATCTTGGTCTTCATAACTACGTTTAGACAAGCGATATCTGATGTGACAGGACATCCAAAAATAGAAATGCTAAAGTCTTTGCTACGGGGCGTCAGTAACTTGTTGGAATTTTACTTTGCACCCAACGAAGTCGATGCCTTGAATTTTTCTCGAGAAAATTTGCATCATTTGTGCCATTAATTACTCTCTGGCATTCCTAATTAAAGGGGGTGGCAAATTTTAGTCGTAGCAGCAAGGTAATCTTTACTGAACATGATTTTAGAACCCTATATAAAATGTTCAATGATTTCAAGCAAAATTTACCTTTCCACAATTTTATTCAACTTTTTAAATGCCTCCATTTGCGAATGGATTTATTCAATCATAGCGAAAATCCTCCTGTGACTTTTTTACTTTGATGCTAACCCCTTAAATTCATTGCACATCTTTAAGACCACCTTCGATGTTTGGGAAATAAAAGTGGATCAACATTTAAAAAAATCACTTATCACATTCTCTCAAACTATTTCCCAAAGCTTTGTGAATAATGATAAAAAGCAATTGCACTGCTCTCTTGCGAGCATTTATAAAGTGTCAATTAAGCACATTCTAAATAACTGAAGTTGGTTGGAGTCGAGCATCGCTAAAATGAATATAATGAATATGATACTAAAATGAATACATTTATGGCGCGAAAATGAAACCGATGTCTGACGAATTTCACACAGAAATGAATTGGCGCAACAAATAGTACGCATAACTGGTGGAGTACCAAGTGCCTTTAAGTTTGTGATTCGCTTAAAGCCTCTTCCCTCCACATGTTAAACTCCTCATTTAGGCCATTGATTACCATGATTTTAGCAGCTACTAATGCAGATTAATGTGTTTTAGACGCTTTAAATAACAGTGGCCTTTTGACGATGGGGATGCCGTTTAATGCCCCATGTATATCGTTTTCTGACAAGCTTAAACATTAAATATGCTTCGCGGAACAGACTTGTCGAAAACATTGACATTATAGAGGTGGGTTGACCTCGTA